CCCGGCAGGGAGAGCCGGGCCCACTGCGTGGATCTCGAGTCGGCGTATGTGCAGGGCTGCGAGCGGCTGCAGCAGGCGGTGCTGGTGAGCGCGGGGTGCCTGGCGCCGGGGCTGGGGTTGGGAACGCGCGCCCAAGAGGCTGAGGCCGCCCTGTTCCCAGGCGGTGAAGGCCCTGCAGACCGCCACGCGGGAGGCCATCGCGCTGCTGCAGGCGATGGTGGAGGAGGTGCGACGCAGCGCAGCCGATGAGGAGGCCGCCATCCACGCCCTCTTCGGCAGTATGCAGGTGAGGGGCAGGGGGGCAGGACGACCATAGGCTGAGCATCCTTATCAAACATGACCCGGTGCCCAGGACACAGTGCAGGCCCCACAAGGCGCCCTTGTGGAGTTTCCAGTGCAGGTCAGCAAGCATTGAGCTCCTTCCAGGAGCTACTTCATCTCAGGTGCCAGGAGAGTTCTAGAAGGGGAGCAAGACCCTGCCCCAGGCTGGTGGTGAAAGGTGGTCAGGAAGACTTCCCTCGGGGGTGACAGTAAAGGGAGGGCCCCAGGGCTCTCAGGCAGTGGGATGCTAGAAGGAGGCAGCAGAGCTGGTAGGCTGGAGAGATGGCCAGCCTAGCCAGCTGTGTGGCTGGGGCCCAGGGGAGTGGGAGAGCCCTGGGAGGTGGCAGTCAGTGGCAGACTGTCCCTCCCAGGACAAACTGGCAGAGAGGAAAGCGCTGCTGCTTCAAGCTGTACAGAGGTGAGTGGTGGTGGGGTCTCCACTCCCTGCCCCTTGGCCTCCAGACACCTATCTCACAGCCTGGGCCTGGGCCTGGGCCTGCCCTACCCTGGGAGGCGAGACATCCAGGTGACACCAGTGAGGAGGGCAGGGGGGCTCAGGGCTCAGGGAAGGGGTTACAGGGAATGCTGCACAAAGCTGGTGGGGAGCTGAAACCACCCAGTTCTGAGGCACCCCCATCCCAGGTAGGGGTGGGCAGCCCTCACCTTGCAGATGAGGCTGCCTGCCCCTCCACCAGCCAGTATGAAGAAAAGGACAAGGCCTTCAAGGAGCAGCTCTCCCATTTGGCCACTCTGCTGCCCACCCTGCAGGTAAGGGGAGCTGGGGGGTGCGGGCTGGGCACCCCAGCCAGGCCAGGCACTGAGCAGTGTCCCTCTCGCAGGTTCACCTGGTCATCTGCTCTTCCTTCCTCAGTTTGGCCAACAAGGCTGAGTTCCTGGACCTGGGCTATGTGAGTGCCACCAGCTCCTGCGAGTGACCCCCCTCCCCACCAGGAACCTACCCTGCACACCCGAAACCCCTGCCTGGAGGCTGGGCCGGGGTTCTCTGGGCTTACCTTCCCCTCCTCCACGCTGTTATCTACAAACCATTCAGGGGTCAGCTGAGTCCCTTTTAAACGGACAGCAAAGCCTGGAAGGGAGTTTAAGTCTCCTCCCCCAAAGTGCCTAGTGTCGACTGGAGTCCAGACCCCCCAACCTTTCCTGAAGATTTGGGAATGGGATTGATGTGGGCATCCGGGCCAATCCCAGGGAGGATTGGAGCTGCCAATGGACAGCAGGGAAAGTCCCAAAGACAGACTTGCCCTCGGGGCCACCCTCCTCACTGAGGTGGGTCACCCCCACCCCCCACCCACCTGAGCGCCCTCCCTCGAACCGCCGCAGGAGCTGATGGAGAGACTGCAGGGCATCGTCACACGGCCACATCGCCTGAGGCCAGCACAGAGCAGCAAGGTGCACAGGCGGCGCCGCTGGGTGGGCGGGGGGCAGGCCGGGGGCCCCGCGGGGTGTGGAGCTGCCTCAGGACCTTGTCCCACCTCCCAGATCACCAG